TTGTTGTCGGTCTCTTGGGGAGATTAAGCGTTGGAACTCGAACTCTCTTTTTGGTTGGAGAGAGCTGTGGCGTTTCCCTACTGCCCCGTCGCCATCTTGGTCCCCCCTCCTCAAGTTAATATTTTTAAAGTAAATTATTTCATGGACATGCACACACACACACACACACACACACATATACCTGTGTACATAAATTTATACATATATGCATAGAACACTATTCTAATGATGGTATTATGTGAGAGGATAAGGGGAAAGGAAAGAATGAACAAAAGAAAAAGAAAGATGGAATTTGAATATTGACTGCAGCTTTGTATAAAGAGGGCATAAGGAACCTCATGGAGAATTGTTGGTTAATAGGGGATTGGGAAGGCGGGCTGATAAAGCAATAGAGAAGCCTATTCTGAGAAAAAAATATATCTATATATAGATATATAGATATGCATCTGAAATACCACAGTGAAATCCCTTGGTGCAATATATATATAATTTTCAGGAAACACATACAGTATCAGAGAGAGGGAGAGGGCTGAAAAAGAGAGTAATGATGAATATGGTCAATGTATTTATTTGCATTATGTTTTTGGAAGGGGGAGAGTGAAAAAGTGAGATTGATTGAGGTATATGGTGTACAGGTGGAAATATCACAATGAAACCCTCCTTGTACAACTAATATATGCAAATTAAAAGAGTCAAAAGACCAGGCTCTAGTGGCTCATGCCAATAATCCTAGCTGCTCTGGAGGCTGAGATCTGAGGATCATGGTTCAAAGCCAGCCCAGGCAGGAAAGTCTGTAGACTCTTATCTCCAATAAACCCACCCAAGAAACTGGAAGTGGCATTGTAGCTCAAGTGGTAGAGCGCTAGCCATGAGTTGAAGATCTGAGGGACAGCACCCAGGCTCAGAGTTCAAGCCCCACACCCGACCAAATAAATAAAAATAAAAGAGTCAAAAATAAAAGTCAATGATTTATTACATACCTACAGAACTGAGTTTTATGTATATATGCTATTGCTGAAATAAAAATGTGTTCTAGTTAGTACAGAAGTCTATTTGAAGGAGAAGGCATGTTTAATAAATTTGTTGACCTAATGTTTCATTAGTATAATTTCTATTTTATTCAATATTTTTAGAAATAAATGTCTAAATTAATATTTTTTCTTTTTACTATGATTTCATTGCTTTTGTAAGTGGAAACTATACCCTTTACTTGAGTGTATCCCTTGCATATTTCAAAGCAGATGTTACCCTAAGAACCCAGATGTTCCTCCTACCCATAGTAAGGAGGAGAATAGTGGTGGCATTGCTCTAATGGGGAAAAGGAGAAAACTTTTGAATGTGCTGTTACCACAGTTTGAAGCCAGGCCTCCCACTCTTACTCAATTTGCTTGCTTGCTCAGCTGGTGCTGTACTTCTCTACTTACTTTGTTACTTTGGAGACAGTCTCATGGACTCTTCAGAGTTTCACAGCCTTTGCTGGGATAGACTTGAACCACATTTCTTCAGATTTCAGCCTCTTCCATAGTTAGGATTACAGGTCTGAGACACCAGCCCCTGGCTGCCCTACCAGTTTTTTTTTTTAATTAAACAGTTTTTATTTGTATTTATAGGCATTAGAAACAAATGCATTGATATATTTAAGAAATAAGTTCTAGAGAGATACAATTGTTCCATGATCCAAAATGGAAGACTTCCTTATGTTTAAAGCTCAGTAGTCCAAGGATTTTTACTCATGATTTTTTTCTCATTTTTAATTTTCTTATTGTAATCAGTGTATTAAAAGTAGAATAGGATTATGAAACAGGATTTGAAGTCAGACCACAGTTCAAGCCCTTTAACAAGATAATGGATGCTGGGCACATCAGCCTAACTTCTTTACTTACATGATGGAGGTAATAACTTCTCCCATACAAGAAAGTAAAGGTGAAATCATGAAAGTGAACATTTTGAAAATTGGAGGACACTGTAGAGAATGCTGTTATTTTTGAAAACTACTTAATTTCTTAAGCTTTAAAAGTGATTGTTAAGTATGATTTGTAAGGTAAGTCAAATGCAGTGAAAATCTAGGAATAATGTAAATTGTAGAAAAGCAATAATAATTTGTATTATTAGATCAATTACAGAACTTTGCTTTTCACATTAAAAATATTGGGCACCATTAGATCTAATCTGTAATGATTTGATTGTTTATATTGATAATGCTAACAACAAAACTTTCTAAAACTTTTTTACTTGCAGTGATATGCTTACAGAGCTAATTTATTGTAGTAAGTAAATTGACTTTCTTAGTTTTGATGAATGTGTTCCATTCTTCAAAATTTCTCAGTTTGTTTTTTAATTATTCACAATTTGTTTTGCCTTTTTGTCACTGACTTTATTTCTCTAGTTCTGCATTTCTTTGCAACATCAGATAGTCATACTTTTGTGGTTTAGTGAATGTCAGAAATGACTTAGAGAAGCAGTGAAGAATTACAGAGCAGAGATAAAGTCAGAATCCTCAGTACTTTCTGTGCTATAATGTGTCATCACTCAAGCATGTATTATTTCCATAATATGACTGAGTACATAAAAGAAATAATCATGCATGCTACCATGCTTACAATGGGAATGCATTGTGTGGGGGTGTGTTCTTCTACATACATACATATGCATAAATGTATACCAAGCATATATTTAAATTTCATAAGTTCTTCTGATACCTGTGCTTAATAATCAATAGTACTTAGCTCTTGAATTCTTGAAAAGAGAGAAATTAAATGACATAAACCATCTTGCCTCAAACTTTATTTGAACATAGGCTAGCATTTAAAATGTTACATCTAACCAGGCATTGGTGGCTCATGCCTATTACCTGTAATCCTAGGTACTTAGGAGACTGAGATTTGAGAATTGCAAATCAAATCCAGCCTGAGCAGGGAAGTCCATGAGAGTCTTATCTTCAATTAACTTCCAAAAGGCTAGAGGCAGACCTTGGCTCAAGTGGTAGAGTGATAACCTTTAGTGAGAAAGCTCAGGAATAGTGCCCAGGCCCTGAGTTCAAGCCCCAGGACTGGCACACAGAAAAATCTTATGTTCATCTTCAGGAAGACTTTCTTGTGTTTTTTTGTTGTTGTTGTTGTTGTTTTTGTAGGGAATAGTGCAAACTTTTAGAGTAAAAATATATTTTATACTTCTTGAAACTTCAGTCAAACATACTTCTTGATGATATTTGTTTAAATAAAATCTAGGCTTTATGAAAGCTTAATCTTGCTTAAATATATATTGTTGTTCCCTGAATGACATCTAAAATGTAACATTTCATTGTGTATAATAAAACATGTCTGCTGAATGATATTGCTAAAATATTAAGATAGTTTGTGTTCTATTTTATCAGTACTTTATGTCCTCTAGAAAAAAAATCATTAAAACTATTACTTTTCTTTTCTCTTGATACAATAAAAAGTCAGATAAAGGAATGTGGCTTTAAATTGGATATTGAAGATGTATATGACAAGAGTGAGAATGTCAGATTAGAACAGTTACCAAAGTGCCTATGAAGCTTTTCTTAACAAAACCTTGTACAGTTTCTCACAATTGCCTGCTTTTTTCACTTGAAAGACTTTTACTGTTTCCAAAGAGGAATGAAAATCAAGTAAGGAATGAAAGGTTTCCAGTTTTGTAGCTGTCATTGTTTAGGACTGAGCAGAAAAACTATCACTCTGCCAAGTGAACATATAACATTTTGACTATTAAGTTGAGGATTAATACAACCACCGAAAGGGGTAGGGGCATGATGGAGCTGTGTATTGGCCAGGATTAATGTAAATTCCTTTAATAAGCTTTTATTTTGAAAGAAGCTCCAGAAGCTCTCAAAAGTATCCTTAGCATAACCTTACTGTACCCATATTGGTTACCACACAAAGCATACCACCAATTAAAGACTTTCTGTTCAAATTCTCCAAGTTTTAGTTCTAAAAAAAAAAAGAATAGAAGGATTCTACTGTAGCTCACAACGCTCTTATTGCCCAATGCCACTTAACAGAAATGAAATAATCTGTTTTAAGATCATGAAGTAGTATAAAAACATTGTTGCTGAATATTTACAACCATTATGGTCAGTGTTTAGATTCCTTTGAACACCTCAGTTTGCTAATAGTCATGACTTTATTTTTTCCCCATTAATTTTTTTCCCTTTGGAAAGAAGTTTAGTATTTGGAAAAATATTTACTTTTTACTTTAGTTTACATTTCATTAGTCAACCTCATAAAAAACTAAAGCAAATAAAACAATCTTGTCTGTTTGCAAGAGGGAAGGAGGGAGGGCAGAGAGAGAAAGAGAGAGAGAGAGAGAGAAACTGAATCTAGAGCTCTTAATCTAGATCTTATTTTGCAGCTCATTGTGTCTTTCATGGCAAAGGAAAAGGAGTAGGAAAAGGAAGATACAGTGAAGACTTCCTCAGTAGTCTAAATATCTTTTTCCTAGAATTTTCCATTTATATAAGAGTTCTGATCTTCAGAATGATGAAAATCTGACTTCATATCTAACCTCTGATACAAAGTGCAGGCAATGAAATACATTTTCCATCATTTTAAATTTTCATATTTTTAGGATTTCATTATAATTTTTTTAGCTTCCTAGGATATTGCCTGCCTTTCTCCAGATTATGATCTATAGCCATATAGTGAGTGGTACTGATGATAAAACAGTGAAGAAACAGTTGGGAAAATGAGTGTTTTTTGTCTTTTACCAGCACTTGTAAAGGCCATGCCAGAGGAGCTGGAAACGTTAAATGCAGAGTTTCCTTGTCTCTGATTTATCTAGGAGTTTAAGGACAGTTGGGGTTTAAAGGATTTTAACATAACTTCTCTAGGGTTAATTCCTACTTGTGCAGGTAGGGTTTCATACTAAACATTTTTACTTGGTTTATTTACAAAGGTATTTCTTATTAACAAGTACCTAATACCTAGATACTTGTTAATAAGATTCTATTGATTTACGTACTTTTTATCATACAATTCCAGGTAGAGTGTTATGATTATGACAATGATGGATCACATGATCTTATTGGAACATTTCAAACTACCATGACAAAACTGAAAGAAGCTTCCAGGAATTCACCTGTAAGTTTTATCTTTGCATGTACTATATAGTCTAGCTGTGTTTAGTATTAATTTTTTCTTTTGGTATAGAAGTAGTTCACGGTGGTTTTTATATTGCATAATTTTCACAAGTTGATGGGTTTTATTTGCGTGGTAACTAGCTAATCTAGAGGTCATACTTGGGGTATGTTTCTTGTTTCACGGAACACCATGTAATGGTCCCCCCTGGTGGAGGACCTCCACCAACTTGGAGGAAGGCAAAGATCATTACAGTATCACTCACTGGGAATGGAAGTGACTTTTGCCCCTGTGTCTTAGAAGAGAAAACCTAATAACACAGTCAAGCAATGAATGGAACACCACTTAACTCACATGGAGAAGAAAGAGCAACATGAGCTATAGTAATAGGTCGCCTCCATCATGGCCAGCAGCTTCCTTCTGGCAACATAAGCAGGGAGTTCACCTATTTACTTCAGTAGAAGCCCCTAGCTATAGAGTCTGAACTATTGAATGCTGGAAGTGGGGTTGAGGGCAAGTTGACTCATGGCCTAAGGAGAGCAAGCAGTACTCTTGAGTCTGAAAGTGGCAAGCTGTTTCCATGCAGACAAGTAGCTCATACTCATCTCTTGGAAAGAAGTTCTGAGACCCATCCTGTGCGGCTTAGCAGCTGTCATAAACTATGCATGCCAAATATATTTGTATCAGAGGTTGGGTTTCTTTTAGTTTAAGATAGCATATATGATTTTATTTCAAATCTGTAGTTTTAAAGGCTTTAGACATTTCCTCGGTTGCAATAATTAATATCTATACTGCCAGACAAACGCCTAGGCTTTTATTATGTACCTTATGTGATTCTTTCACAGGCATTTATAGTCTTCTTTCTGACTTTTCTTTAACCACAAGAAAGGCAGAAGCTTAATTCATTGTCTTTTAAATTATATAATAATAAGCTACAATCTAGTGGCATAATTTTTATAAGACCATTTGGCAGTATTAACCACATTGAGTTTATTATGTAACATTCCAACTTATTTATGAGGGTGCTTCTGAAACCTTTCCATCTTGCTCTTTAGCCCAGGCTGGCCTTGAACCTGGAGTCTTGCATCTCTGTTCCAAGTGCTGGGATTATAGGCATGTGCCACCAAACCTAGAGTGAAACTTTTAACATTACTTCCATAATAAGTCTTACCCACGGACAAGGCTATATGTTCTCATATTTGTGTTATCAAAGATTATATAGCACAATGCCTTTTGGTAGACACATTGCAAAAGGATGAGTGAGAAGAGTAAAATAATTTTAGATGTTTTTTAATGAGATTCTGTTTAGGATATTAATGTTTATGATATATCTGTCCATGTTCTGAACCATTGAGGAATTCCTTTAACATAATTTCAATTAACATTATTATGTCAAATATATTTCCTAATGTTGATTCTTAGAAAATTAGGAATGGCTGTTAATGGTGTACCTAAGAAGCTTCCTATTAGCTAAAAGTAATGATCGGGGATTGATTAAGTATCTCTCAATGTTCTTAATAGACAAGATGGTAAGAATTCAAAGGTTTAAGTTGGAGGTGATTATAACCTTACCTGTGAAAGTAAAAAAAAAATTACTGAACAGAAACAATTGAGAACAGAATGTATTACCTGAATTTTCTATAGTTATAGATGGATAAAGATCAGTCATTGTAACAGTAGTGGCAGATACAGTAAGTGACTAGAGTCAAGTATTAAAGAAGGATGGTGGTTTGGAGATGGAGAGATCATTCTGATGGTGAGGGGTGGTCTGGTAAATTAAATTTATTTTTTAACCCATATTCCCTGTGAAAAGAGATGATCTTTGCCATAGGGTTTATCATAGTGTTGGGCTTCATATGTCTGATTTGTGATGATAGCTTATTTTAAAGCAAAATGTGTTTTTGTTTTGTATAGTTAACATCCAGGAGTAGCATTTTCTTTCTTGATTATAGGGAAGAAAAGTTATCATTTGGAATATTTGCAAAGAAATTAGTTACCAATATAGGTAAATGTCATGCTCATAAACTATTTAAAATGGTTTGCAATTATTAGGAGTACCTTAATTGTTGGAAATTTGATCAATAATGATTTCATTGTCTTAATGCATTATGGAGTTCAGAGTTGCATGTTACAACAGACCTCTACCATAAGTGGTTTGATTCCAAGAGGAAATGGTGGTTCATTTAAATTTACATTGGCATTTAGAATATTGATAGTGAAAAAATTAACATTTTTTCCTCTCTTCTTACAGATTGAATATGAATGCATAAATGAAAAGAAGAGACAAAAGAAAAAAAGCTATAAGAATTCAGGTGTTATTATTGTGAAACTCTGTGAGGTTGGTTGGCTTTTGTCACTTATAACCAGGTTGTATTTTGAGTTCTTCTGCAAGTTGATTTGTTTCAGATAAGTGCAACTGAAAATTAGACAACTGAAAATCACTGGATAATCTGGTCACCCAAAGAAACAGTATGGAGTAAGGAATAATGAAGTATTTCAAGAAATTTTGCTTCCTACACAACAGACAAGAAATATTAAAACTTTCCATTACCTTGGCAATGTAGAATCTTGGTATTTTTCCAACCTGTAAGTGGAAATTACCTGACCTAGTTCATCTGTTTTGACTATAATTTCATGATGAAATGTTATAAATGAAAGGAGAATGACCAACTTTCAGTGAAAAAATATTTTTTAAAATATTGTTTTATTTATTTATGAATTCTTACTAAAATTTTATAAGTATTTTTTATAGTAAAAAAGGAATTCAGGCTAGGAAATAGTTGATATCTCGTCATTCTAAAAGAATGTAGTTTCAGTACCAGTGGCTCATGCCTATAATCCTAGTTACTCAGGAAGCTGAGATCTGAGGGTTGTGGTTCTAAGCCTGTCCAAGCAGTCCACAGGGCTCTTATTTCCAATAAACTACCAAAAGTGGACTGTGGCTCAAATGGTAGAGTGCTAACCTTGAGCAAAAAAAGCTCTGGATGAACCCCAAGATAAGGACACAAGTGTTTTTTTCTTTGTTGCTATTGATTCTAACGTATCTATAAGGTACCACATGATTTTTTGTTGCTTTGTTATGTCCCTCCCCCATGGTATAACCCCTGTTTTCACTGTATTTGATGTTGGTATAATTTGGGGAGGGGAAGGGAAAAAACAGATTGTTTAAATAGGGATACAGGTTGACTCATTACAACAATGAGATATATAAGATACCATGTTGAAAAAGGAACTTTGCAATTTGGTGTGTGTGGGGGGTGTAGTTGTGGAGATGGGAGGGAAGGGATGGTAGGGGAAAAACAAAGGAGGAGGCAACAATGCTTGATAAGAAATGTACTCATTACCTTGCTCATATAATTGTAACCCCTCTG